CGTGGCTACTCAGCTAAGGAACTGAATGTTGGATTTCTTGCAGTAAGTTGTTTTTCGAAAGCATTATTAAAGTTCTGGTTTCCAGTAGTACATTCCCCTCCCCCCACATCGTGGTTTCGCATCAGCAGCCCTGCTAGCTGTTGGTTGTTTTTGACACTTGCTCACAAGCTAACTCCAAATAAAGATAGAAATGAAGATGAAATAATAATAATAGCGGTAATGATAATAACAATAATGACAGTGATGATAACAGCAACAGTAATAGTAATAATGATAATACCAATAACAATATTCACAATAATGATGAAAATAATGATAGCGTTAATTATAACAGTAATAAAGATAATGTATCTTCAACCTTCCATGCAAAATTCAACGTGATCTGATCGCTGCTGTCATCCGAGCAGCAGTCGGAGCGTAATATTACTGAGTATTTTTGACGCATTCTCATTAAAGAGAGCAATCATCTCATGACAGTAACTGTAATATGCGTTGTTTCGGCAGTATAAGGGGCCGTTTCGTTCGCGGTAAAACGGTGTTCCTTCGTGACAAAGCCTTCCTTGTTACTAGTTTTCATTACCACCTTTTGTAACGTTGATTTGATTACATTTCAGGCTCGACGATATCAATTACAGAATCAGATGGACCAGCTGAAACAGAAAAGTATGGAAATTTTAAGAACATGGCGTAACAAGAGAGATGATTTCATACGCGGATTCCTGGAAACCTTGCAAATGGATGGTGGAATTGGTTTTAATGTATGTCATACGTTTATTAAAATCATCCTACGCTAACTAATTGGGTGAAATCTGAACATCATTTGGTGGTTGGTTGGACCACTGTTAAATTCTCAGCGAGCGTGGTATTCCATGTCTCAGTTACATCAGCGGAATCAGTAACACGGTAGAACTGAAAAGGTCACTTTCGCAGTCGATGCTGCGTTAGTGATGGAAAAGAAGTCTCGTAATTTGGTGGGGGCTATTGACGAGGTCCAGTCGCAGTATTGAGTTAGGGCGTATATGACTTAATGGACCGAAACCTCTTATCTCATTCTTGCCTTCCCTCCTATGCTACTCTTTTTTTCTGAATTCCTTCACACCTTCACCTTCTGCGTTTCCATTTCCAACCTGGATGCTGTAATCTGCCTATCCGTTTTGCTTTTTTTCTTAGCACCAAACACTTCGTTCGTTTGTGTTTTTTTGCCCCTAGCATTTAGCTGGAATTTGGTAAACTAAAATTTAAATGCTAAGCGAATTTTTATCAAAATTCAGATTGTTGGTAA